ATAATTAGTAGTAGGTCGCTAGAGGACACTAGTGCCGCACATTTTTAAAGAAATGTGATTGGATAACGCGATGTAATTAAGTGTGGCGTGGGATGTTTGAAATAAGCGAACTCTAATTTCTTAGTATTGGCAATATTAATGTTACTAGTTTAAGTTGAATGAAAACAAGTGTATAAGTTTTTGAATCGGTTTTCTATTTCTCATTTTTAACTTAGGTTTATTTAGTGCCTTTGCCACTTACTTTGTATTACTATTAATAAGTATACAGTATAGACTACCGTATAGTATACGCCTATAGACTATAGTATTAGTGTAGTAATTTACTTATTTAGTATTTATAAATTCATTAAAATTTAAATAATAATAATTGAGCTTTATTATCTTGTTACTTATTGTTATTCTTACTCTTACTACATTTCTGCAATTAAATTTCACTGTATCAATATGAATCTTTATTAATAATTTTAACATATTGTTAATTAGAAAATTATCAACGAAAAAGGAAGTATTAGTACTATTAGTAACATCGATGAATCATAGAAGTACAACCTTATCTTCTGAAGTTCTGTAACGTAACATAGTGAAAGACGTACATACTGACTCAATGAATAAAAAAAGCAATGTCGAAAAATGTGTGATTTCGTGTAAGTACTGAGTTAAGTGTTGAATTGCAGCACTTGGGTAACTTGTATTGCCTTAACTAAGGCTTAAGACATTAAGTTCGTTAACTGTCTTGAAAATTTTAGTGTAGGTCTGTTGTTACTTTTCTAAGTTTTAGTCTAAAATCCATATCAAGACATGAATAAATTGTGTAGGTAACTACATTGCCAAAAATTATAAGTTGGACAAATTTTAGAGAAATTCTGTAAACTTTCAATGACAGAAATAAAAATTTTTGGGTCTGTACACAAAAGGTCTAATAATAATACATTGATTACATCTGAAATAATGAGTTCTAACTGATCTATTAGTATCAGAAATTTGGATAAATGTAAAAATTAATTCATATAATGCTAGTAGTATGTTTCTTGGAAAATGTGACTGCATACCTGATAAAGAAATTTCATTAGACCAATTGATGCCCTTAAACATTAAACCACTTCAAAGCCATTATGAACAATTAGGTTTAAAGTTAGAAATTTTGGACAGAAACGGAGCCAATAGAGAATTTAAAAAAACTGTATACCCGAATAAAATGGTTTTAGAAGAACACTTCGATAAAGATCTTGTGCAACATAAGCCTAAACTTTCTCATCAAGAAAAGCTGGAAAAAACTGGCTCTGCATCAAGTATTATGGATGGATCATCAATAGATGGAGCATTAAGCCATGAGGTTTTGATAGTTCCCAATGAAACAGTGCATATAAGGTAAAAACAAATGTTATTTCATAGTTTAGTAACCGAGGTATATGAACTTCTGTAAATTGTTTTTTGCTAAGATGTGTAAAAAAACAACTTTCCATACCATTGGTATTTCTTTTGTGATTTTAATCATCATGTGTACAGTTTTAATTCGAGAACCTGTTTGACTCAACAACTTGTCTTGATCATAATGATGTACAAAACAACATGGTGACAAAACAATAAAGGTCACACAAAAACAAAAAAAAAATTTAATGTAATTTAAATATAGTCATTTGTGTTCATATAACTACTTAACAATACTTTTATGATTGTAGGACACTTTCCAGTATTTCTAAGTTAAGACCCATTTTACAGATTCTGTTGTTGAAAGTAATTGTTGTTCAGTCTTGTCCCAAATCTGCTTGTGTTTTGCTTTTCTAACTGGGTAGTTGGCCCTAGGAATGAGTTGCTTTAAGATGTATGGATTCAATAAACTTAAGGGGAGGTTGGATAAATATTTAAATTATCAAGGCTGTATTTGTGTTGTTTTTAATAAGTTGATGAGACAACTTCAATGGACTAACAGGCCCCTTGTTGTCTTTAAATGTTGTCCTATACATTATTGTTGTAATTAATGTTTTAAATGAGAGATACTGTTAGTGTTAAGAAAACACAGTATGGCAGAAGGCCTGTCAGCATATTAGTCAAACTTAAACCAAAAAAAGTATTAAACAAGTCAAACTTAAATATAGTCCACATTCCAATACCACTTCAATAATATCTTAAAATAATTGTACTTGTATTGCATCATTGTTGGATATACAAGGCTGTTCAGTTTAAGAGTTATTATTTAGTTTATTTAATGTTTTCATAACAAGGGTGTTAAAAGTTAATTATTTTAAAGCAATAATTATGACAATTTTCATTACATAACTGTACTAATCATACGTTGTGTATGCAGGGTAATTGCTGTACTAGTGTTTTGTAATATTGTTGACATCATCTTACTCGAAACTTCTAAGTTTTCTTATTATGTTTAATATTATTGTTACTAGAGGGCTAGATATTTCTAGATTTTTCTGTCACGTGTTATAAATACATGCAGGTACAGAGAGGAAGTAAGTAAGTTAGTGAAAGTGAAAAAAGTGAAGTTAGACTGCCTGATTGTCAATTTAGCCATAATGGGAAATTTCTAAAGTGAAAGTATCACAGTTTGCATTATAATAACAAACAGAATAATAATAATAATTTGTCTTGTCAGTTGTTGTCTAAAGTATGTGAACCAGCCTGTGTGGACTTTTGATTAAGAAAGATAATTATTTAAAGCTCTAGATTCAACTGTGGATAAGTAATAGTGTAACAAACTTTTGTACATACATTTGACTTGTTTTGAATATATATTATTTTAAAACAAGTGGATTGGGTGCTATACATTTTTCCCAATCTTAAACTTGTGTCCTACTGTCTTCAAAATAGAGTATGAAGAAATTGGAGACCTTTATCATATCAAGCTCCTGGATAATTTTATAAACTCATTAAGATAACATCTTTCTTTTCTTGTCTCAAGATAAAATTAGTTAAGAAATATTAACCTATCCCCTCAAGATAACCCTTATATCCCTGGAATCATCCTAGTAATTTTCCCCTGAATCCTTTCGAGTAAGTCAACATCCTTTCATAAGTTAAGGAGACCAGAAGTGTACACAGTATTCCAAGTGAGGTCTATCTAATGATTTTAATAAAGAGATAATTACTTTTTAGACTTGTAATCAAAAATGTCTTTGAATACACCCTTACAAGGTTTCACTACGTGGGTAGTACCTTCTGCCTTTCCCGAGTATAATTACATACAGCAGTTAAGAAGATAGTTGTTAACATTGTTTGATTATTAAAAATATTTCAATCTGTATGACTGAAAATATTCCTATCACAACCAAATAAAACACTGTATATATACTTGTTATGGTATCTAAGCCATTGACTGTGAATTTCATGTACTATTGATAATTTCAACTACTCATTAATCTTTCAACTCAAGCAAGTTGAAATATTTTTGCATTATGCTTATGAGAAACACCAGGTAAAATTCTTTGTTCTTTAAACTGTTTTCTCTCTCTCTAGCCTTAGTGTTTTTCTGTTTCTTATATTTATCTCTTCCAGGAAAAATTTGAATGTTTTAACATCAAAATCAAACATTCTCTTACTAGTGTTAATAAAAATAATGGCTACACTGCATTTTCCAGTAAAACACTAGATCAGTTATTACATTTAACCTCTGTACTGTCATCCCTAAAGAGAAAGTGAAAAAAGCTTATAAAAATTAAGCAAAGGACATGCTTTTTAAGGGGTTGAAAAAAAATAGAAAAGGCCACAGAAGATAAAATGATTAAGCTTTTCAAGACTACATATATGCCATTTTCTGAAGAATCATGTACTGATTGCTCAAGAATACTTGGTTTTTGAAGTTGAAATGATTTACTGGTTAATGACACTTAATAGAATGATAAACAATGCAGTTTTCATTTAGCAGATAGCAAATTGATACGAAGATGCTCTGAAAGGAATGTTGAAATTTCCTGACTTTTTTTTCGTGAAAGTAGCATAGATCGAAGTGACTTGCAGAATGACATTATATATATTTATATCATGAATGAGAGAGATCCATGTTTCTAAAACTGTTAGAATTACAAAGGCTGAGGGCATAGTGTTAGCATTACACAGTGCATTTGAGCATTTTAGTATACCTGTTCAGAAATCAAAGTTATTAGGTTTTGGAAGTGATTGGGTCTCTGTTATGCTAAGTATAGACATAGTGAGCAACTATTTTTAAAGACTTTTCCTTAACGTATAAGGGAACGTGATGAAAGATGTGAAAGTATAGAGAGTCATGTTTTAAAACGTGTGAGCTAATTGGATATGATGGTTTGGACAAAAGCAGAAAGCCCTCTCCAAGATGATGAGGAACTGGCTTCCCATTGTTATTCACTTGTGCATCACACAAGAGTTACAAAGCAGAAGATCAAGCTAAAGTAAAAAGAATTCACAAGAAACTTCTAAATTACAAATATGTGTTGTATATGAACTTTGTGTTGGACCTGCAAGATCTGGTTTCTCAACACTGTGTTATTTTTCAAAGAAATGACATCACTATATTCACTCATGGGAAAGCTATTGGGAAAATTACATTCCCTCATGAATTTTTTTTTTTATTTAATCCATGCAGTATGTTCACTTTTATTGGTCATAACTAAAGGAATACAGATGAACCATGTATTACAACAGCGGAAGTCACGTGACGCTGGTAACACGTATTGAGTTCTAGAAAGATCAGGGAACATCATGAATAATCCAGTATTTGCTAGGTGCCCTCTATTCTTGTATATAAGTGCACCAGACAATTAATTGGGATTGTATAGCAGACAGAGATAAAGACAGACAACTGAGTCAAGCACGGTAAAGAGCGTGAATCATTCATTGTGAATTATAGCATGTGTTTAAGTTAATGTGACTGTGGAAATTAAGTGTGTTACAAAGTTTGTAATGAGAAAGAATAAACTAGTTTTAATTAAGAAAGGACTTGTATCACTGAAGTTTCTCGGAAAGAATTTTTACGGGAAATTATCAAACGAGCAGATACATAACATTTTACTTTTTTTTTTTAGATATACTAAATTAATAAAAAATATACTTACACCTGGTTTTAAAGGATATGGAGAACAGTATAGCAAGATAAAGCTTTAAAATGTTCTTTTCACCAAGGAATAATGATTTATGAACAGTCATGATGCTTTTTATGAAATTAGAGATGATCATCTCAACTTCTAACAGATAACACTATTTGATAAGGTCTTCTGGCCATGTGCAAAGAAACACACTTGCATTGGTCCTGACCATGGAGTGATTACCTAAGAGTAGGATTTCTATAGGTAGTTCACCCTTGGGCATATACTGTTTGTTCTGAACATTAGACCAAGCATAGACAACCTGAACTAAAATTTAAAATGTTTTAACATAAATTCACCTGAATAAAGATATATTTATTTAAAAAATTATTTAAATGGTATGGATGTATTATTTGCACATCATAATGAGCTGAAATATCTGTTTTGTGATTGACTGACTGTTGAGATATATATAATATATGACTTCTCTTTTTCATTTGGATTTTTTTTAATTTGAAATACCAACATTTAAATTTTGTATTTGTATCTGTATAAAAAATGGTTAAATATCTTTATACTAGTTTTTCTACTTTCAGTGGTACACACTATGAAGGGGATACAAGTTTGTTTTTGGAACCTCCACCCAAGTCAAAGCGCTTCCAGTTTATTTCTGTGAGTAGTCTTTTTATCTAGTTACATTGTAATTTATTAACATAAGAGCATATATTAATTGATGTTTGTGAATGAAGATGCAATTTCATAATTTAAAGGTTTAAGTTTTGGCATAAGGTAATAATGTATTTTACACAAGTATGTGAATGTTAGGTCATAACATAATTGACATAAATGGGCAAGGATTAAGTTCATAGATTAATTAAGTGACTTGAGGTCATAATACAATTTTAGTTAATCCGTAAAATTAGTTAAAAACATTAAAGGTAGTTATAGCTTATCTATATAAAAATATTTAATTGTCTGTGTATGTGTATCATGTAAGTCCTAAACTGCTGGTTGCACTGACTTCTAAATGGTACCAGATGAATTCTATTGGTCCTGAGGTTTGGACAAAGGTGAAATTTTTCACCCCACATGTTGGGGAACCTAGGGATTTCCCAAAAAAAACTTTTCTACTCCTAAACTGCTGAACTTGCCAACTTCTAAATGATGCTAAATGAATCATCTTGGCCCTGAGGTTTGCACAAAGGTAAAAATTTTTCACCCAACCTTTTAGAGGCCCTTTTATGGGAATTGCCCAGAAGCGGACCTCAAATTTGGCATTGATTTACATTAGAGCACATAAATAAGTAAACCAACTAATTACCATTTATAACTTAGTTAAATAAATTAAATTTGCATTATAGTGGCAATGATCATTAAACTGAAAAGAATGCAAAAGAGTAATTTGAGTATTAAATTTACATTATAGCAGCCCTCTAAATGTGGGTCATAGGCCCACGGGTTCTCTAGTATTTAAGATAAAATGTATTGTGGCTTTCTTATAAGAAAATACAGTTTTGTTGCAATACGAGCTGCGAAACTCACTTTAGAAATCGCCTGATACAGCTAAACTTTCAATCACAGTCTAACTTCACTTTTGTTTTGACTTTCACTAACTTACATACAGTAACTACCTGACTGAGGCATAGAACTTTTTACAAACTACGAGACTTTATGATGTAACAATACTCACTTAAAGCAACAAGAAAAAATCAGAAGGTTCGAGTAACATTATGTCAATTCACAACAAATGATTCATAAACAGTTAAGTAAGCAAACCTGTGATGTCTTTTGCTTCTAAAAATAACTTACTGTTACGTCTCTGTTCGTTTGTTAATTTTCCATAAAAATTCTTTCTGAAGAAACTTTAGCGATACAAGTCCTTTCTTAAATAAAACTAGTTTATTCTTTCTCAATACAACTTTGAAATTCACTTAATTTCCACGGTCATGCTATAACAAAAGCTATAATTCACAACAAATGACACGCGCTCGACCCAACTGTATGTCTCTATCTCTGTCTGCAATTCAACTGCATTGTTGCCGTCACTTCTTGGTGGTCTTGTATACAAGAGTACCACATATCTAGTAAACACTCAAGGCTTCACGAAGGGACATGAATTTTCTAGAAGCTCATCTCATGACGTGTTACTAGCGTCACATGACTTCCACTGTCGTAACATTACTTTAACACTCATGCTATGTAAACAATCTAAATCATAACATTCACATTAAACTTAAAAAATGAAATAAACAGTCAGGTATATCCAACAGACCACTTTTGTTTTTCTCTCTAATGCATGTTGTAGAAATGGAATTTAGAACTACTATTTGTGCTTTTAGGTGTATAATGTGTGTATATATATATTTTCTATCTAGCCATTTTCTTGGTGGCATGTGTTAAAGTGCTTAAAACATTTTTACTGTTCTTAAGTTCTTTACAAGAATTTCACATTATATGACACAGTTTCATTTCTGCTAAACAAGTTAATGAGACCTATCAAATCAAATTATTGTACAGGCAGAGACGTCATGATAATTTCCAGTGTTTGCTCTATGAGAGCATTGCTCAAGGAATTTTCCTTTACCATAAACTTGGCAAGTACTTCCTGCAAAGATATCTGGTAACAAAAGTAGAAGTTCTATAGTTTTCCCAGAACCTAAACAGTGATATTTTACATTCCTAAATCCTAGCCTGTGTTCATTAATATCCATGACCCTGAATATGACAACAGCTAACAAAGTCACCTGTGTTTACATTTTACAACATGAGAATATTTTCCTTGGCAGCTTTGTATATGAAGCAGGAGTCCGATAGGAGCTTGGCAAAGTTTATTGCATGAAATCGAAATCCAATTTTATCTTCTCTCTATGAGTATAAAAATGAGCATTACTTGTGGTTTTAGTCAATAAAGCTTTCTACATAATCCAAAAGTCAAATAGTAAGTTCTTTGTGAACAACATCCATATTTGTATTGCATGTACCATTTAATTGGAATTCATTTGTATTACTTGTTTATATTGTTACGTCTTTGTTCGTTTGTTAATTTTCCGTAAAAAATGCTTTCCAAAGAAACTTTAGCGATACAAGTCCTTTCTTAAATAAAACTAGTTTATTCTTTCTCAATACAACTTTGTAATACACAGAATTTCCACAGTCACGCTATAACTTAAACAAATGCTATAATTCACGCGCTTGACTCAAGTGTCCGTCTCTATCTCTGTCTGCAATTCAATTCCATTGTTGCCGTCACTTCTTGGCCATCTTATATACAAGAATACCGTACATCTAGTAAAAACTCGAGGCTTCGCGAAGGGACATATTTTTCTAGATGCTCATGACGTGTTACTAGCGTCACGTGACATCCGCTGTCGTAACAATATTGTGATGGGGTAGCTGAACAACTTTGCTTTGTTCTTTCCTATAAGATAAGCTTTTTTTATGTGCACAGGTGGGGATCCAAGTGCATATGCCACAACCTTTTACAAAGTGTCATTAAACACGATATATTATGTATTTCGTGTCAAAGTTATCAACTATTTATTTTACCCTGCATTTCTAATGTAGTAACAGTTTATGATAGAGGAGAATAAATACCAGATACAATATGCAGAGATACTGAAAACTGTAGTTAAGCATTTTGGAAGTTCTAAAGCTTATGCAAATGCTATATGTAAACTGCATGATTGGCCAAACTATTATATTCTTCACAAGAACATCACCTTGCACTCTAACTTGTCTGACTGACATTGGCATTTCCAGACATATCTTGAGTACAAAACTTTTGTAACACGTCTGATTTTTTCTGTACAACAGACTTGTACATTTTATTAAAAGCTTGCCACATTTTGTGTAAATACACATAGTAAATTTGGTATTATAGTCAGTATTCCTTCTCCATCGTGGGGCCAGGCCAATGAACCAGATCCCATGTACATTCAGTTAATCTGTTATTCTACTTGATGTCTTTATATGTTTTCTCTAATTCTAGTTTTTGTAATGGTTTTTAAATTATCTTGGACATTTCTATCTAAGATAGTATATAACTTGCTAATATTCTAACACTGCTATTGCAAACTGGACATGCATATCATATGGAGATCACACATAAATCAGAATTGTTAGTTTTTCAGTTTCACTGTAATAATCTAATATATGTACTAACACTGGGAATCATCACATGATCTCTTTGAGCATCAAAATACAGGGTGACTCACAATTCATGTGCCACTCTTACTTCTCATTTTATTAAGTAATGTTTGTGCTTCTCTAGCTACCTCCATTTATTACAGTAATTTGTTGGTAGGAGCTATTAACCTTGTAGGAACATATCAAAACAATTCTGTTGTCTGGAGATCTTGCACAATGTCCTAATCTTACAGCATTATACTTTTTCTGTTGGGGATATAACAAATGCTTGTTTTTCCACACATCTAAACCTGGTAAAATTGAGGAAGTGAATCATAACAGCATGCACAACTGTAATATTTCAAACAGCATGTAATGGACGGTGCTCTTAGGGGTAGTTGTTGGAGTTTCGACTATGCTGTTGATTACACCAAATTTATTTATTTGAGAATTGCAGTGGCGAGTGGAACTCACAAGTTGCTAACTTGAGGAGATTTACGGTTAGACTAAAGAAACTGATTCTGAAACTGATATTCAAAACAATACATCAAATCTATTTAAGTTTTTAACATAAAATACACTTCTTTAATCATTTATTAACTCTTCATAAAAGAAAAATACATTTGGGTTAACAACATTAATACTTATAATTCATACATAACACCAAGTTTCTTAGTTTTTATATGCTTCTTTAGAGTCTATCCAATTCACATTAATTTATTAAGAGAGAAATAGTTTCATTACTTACAACATAGTTGAGCTGGTAAATCTTCGCAGTTAAGAAACCTTCATAGTTTCTGGATTATCAATGATTCTGGAGAGAACTGATTTTTAGCTCCAGACACAAGTTTTTAAACCACATTTTCTTTGTATATTTTTGACCTTCCTAATAGTATTCCTAACTACCCACATGTAGTTCTAACACTTTATTGGTCAATCTGTGCAACTTGGGCTATTCCAAAACAAGAACCAAAACTCTCAAGTAATTGGTTACTGTGATGATGAGTGCTCCAGTTGCCTTTTTACTTGTACTATTACACTGGTCTGGAGTAACAGATCTCGCATCAAAGCGCTGATTTGAGATGTTATCGTAAACTATTTAGTAGCCTTTACTGTACTACTAACTCGGCATCAGTAACTTATCACTGTCAAACTTATGGCTAGCGTTTTTCTCAACATCTCTGTTGTAGCTTTATTTTTTATAACTCTTAACTCATGCTTCAATAACTTATGATTCTCAATACCACTTAACCAGCAAGCTGTACTTTCCTAGCTCTTGACCTTATTTCGTAACACAGGTATCTTATACTTATGCCATTTCTTCATGTATATGTTCACTTAAAAACTCAGAAAATTATTACAACTTCTTTCTTAAATTCTTTTAAAATGCTAAAAATACTGAAGCAATTGTAAAATTCCCTCAAAAATATCCAATTGCTTCAGGCATACTTAAAAAAAACATGTTGGTTTACAACATTTTTATCATCGTGTATAGAACTAACTATATGTAACAGTTGCTTGATGGTCAGTTCTTGTACATGTATAGTACATGAACACATTTAAGTCTTGGTAAAAGAAGCTGATTTGTTTGAAAATCCTATTGTAACATTTCTCAATTCTGTCATAAATTGTTTTCAATTTTATATTTGTATGAAGTATTCAAATATAACAAATAAATACATCAACGAAAAATGCACAAATTATATAGCAGCCATTTTTAATGGTATTTAATAATATACATTGTTTTAGTGTTTATAAATGTCTCAAAATTCTATGGACATATGAGCTAACTCCATCAACAGTAAGTCTCACAAATGCTAAAATAAAAGGATTTGTAAACTATGTAGTTTGTTGCTGCATGTATCTTTTAACACATTTGCTGCCATGTGCCCCACCTGTGGGTCACAACTGACTTTTAGTTATGGACCTCATAACACACTGTTGGGACACATATTACAATTGGCTTCAATGAGCTAACTAAACATAGGTTAGTTACCCATATAAATATTAGACAACTGCGTTAAGTAAAAAAAGAAAAGCTTAGTTGACACTAGTGTAGGAATTATTAATACTACTGGTGGCAGCAAAAATGTTAAAGAATTAACAGCCTTACTTTCCAAAATAATCATTGAGTAAATTCAAAGACTACAGTTATTTTAATATATTCATTATTGTTCTCGACAACTTGTGATATTTTCCATTTAACAAGTAAATGGTTTATCATTACAGAAAAAGAGAAAACGAGAGAGTGATGAAGATAATCTGAGTATAGCAAGTTTTGACATTTCTCTTCTAAATGTGGGTATAATTGCCTTGATGATGACTTGTGTATATGAAAATTAAATGTTTAAATTAGTTTAAACGGTACAAGACAATTATTTTTTATTATAAGTTTATAACACTGATTGAGCAAGTTGTTTTTTTGATAAGGATTCTTTCATAGATGAGTGTATCACATATTTACAGTTCATATTATAGTATCTGTCTAGAAATGTTTTTTTTTATAGTTGTGAAGTACTGTTAAAATCATTAAGTTAATAACATGATTTTTTATATTATTTACATATAAGAATAGTTAAATTAATTTTTCATCCAATTTTTTTTCTTCATTTCATTATACAAGGGTAAGGGAATGATAATTTTTACATTCAAATGAATGAAATTCTTCGTTGTACCTTTAATTTAAAAAATAAATTGAAGTTTTTAAGAACCAGTTTGTATTTGCTAATATAAAACTATAATTGCAAGTAATTTTTTTTAGTAATGTTTATATTTGTAGAATATGCTGACTAAAATGAAATATATTGCAGCACAGAATAAAATAAATGTTGTTTTTAATATGTAGTTGTTATTTTAATCTAGGAAGAACCATGGTCTAAACGGAAAAAGAGAATTTCTAGTTTTTCATCATTCACTTCATTGTTATCTCCGGCTAAACCAGTGAAGAGAATGGGAGAAGTTTTTCAGGTAAGCTAATTAGGTATCTTAAAATTATCATACTTAATGAACTAGTGAAAGAAATTATCATACATATTTACTCTGTGTGTTTGTGCACTCTTCAGATTTGTGCAAGTATTGTATTTATAAAAGGTGTAAGAGATATTTTTAGAATAAAACAATAAAATGAATATATAATTGCACAAAGTGTTTTAAGTGAGAATTAACTATTACTTAATTGATTATGAAACAGCTTTATAATATTGGTTAGAATTAAGGTTCTGAATTTTGTTTTTCTTTAATCCTATGAGTATGGGTGTGGGTCAAACTATGCATGCCTTTTCCTTGTACAGAGTGCCATTGAACATGGTATTATGTATTTCATGTCAGAGTTATCAACTATTCATTTTACCCTATACTGCTCATTTTGCAACAGTCGATGTTAGAGAAAATACCAGAAATAATATAAAGAGATGCAGAAAAAACTTACATAGGCATTTAGGAGGTATAAAGGTTATGTAAATACAATATCAAATGGTATGTAGACAAAAGTATTTTTATTCTTCACATGAACATCACATTGCATTCTGACTTGATGTTGGCAATTCATATACATGTTTTAAGTATATTTACTTTTCTAACACACTTTTTTTTTTGCATACAACAGACTTGTACATTTTACTGAAAGCTAGTTACAATTTGTTTAGATACACATACTAAATTTGGTATTAGTCAACATTCCTTTTCCATTAAGGGGTCAGTCCATTGCACATTCAATTAAGTTGAGAAATTGAAAAAAATAATGTAATACAGAAACTTATTTAATCGTGTGTTTTTTACTGTTATGATATGCAGGTATATCATGTTTTCTATTTACTTCAATTATATAGGAATTATTAAAATTTTCATTTATTTAGTTTCTATGCAGTGTTAACATAAATGCATGGCCCATAGAGTTGTTGAGATTGCCTTCTTCTAGTTGCTTTATATCTTTGTTCTCTATAGTAGATAATGTTTGTTCTGCCCAGGAGGATATAGCAATAAAATATAACATTCGAGTAGAAAGGATTAGCACTGTAATATCTTGTACTGGCTGAGCTGATCTTATCTAAATGTAACAGCTGACCAATGCTGTCAGAGAAGATAGGTCACAAGGTGATGTCGTCAACTGGACAAAGAAACCACTCTTACCTTTTGAATTCTGGTGTGCTTTCTTGGTTCAGTTCTAATAGGAGATCATTGAGTATAGACTTGTTTCAAGATCATTGTTTAGTTTGACAGAATATATCAATTAGAGTTGACCATATAGGTCATATACTTTTTTTTTATTGGTGAACTACCCTTAATTTTAGAGTGGATGTAAAATTGTTAATTGATTTATATTAAGTAGCTCTGTTTAGTTTATTATATAAAGTTTGTTTCATTAATGTATAGTTATTTTTATGTTCTGATAGTCAGCTTATTTCTTATCAGATGCTTTTAAATGCATTGTAGAAATTTTTCTTGTGAATTCCAGCGTTCTCTGAGCAACCTAAATATTTCATCAAAACCAAGCAGCAGCATACCAGTAGCAGTTTCTCAGACCATTCTGAGTGGGGACAACAGTTCTAGAAAACTAAGACGTAAATCATCGGGAGCATCTTCTCCCTCTGTTACTCCCTATAAACAACCCAAAGCAACTCCAAAGAAATGTCGAACTTCTCGGCTGTGGTTGGACACATTATCAGAGGAAAGAGCTCAAGTAATGAAAGAAAATATGAGTCATAGAGAACTCAAACGTCAAGAGGTATATTTGTAAGCTTATCACACTCACGTTCTTAAAAGTGTTTAGAAAGTTATGGCTGTTAAATGCTCCCATAAGCCTGAGATATTATAGTTACATTTGTACTAAACATTTTAACTAGAAACAAAACCTTTACATGAAACTATTCTTAAAGTAATTTTGTCCCTGGTTAAAATGTTTACAATAAAGACAACTAATATCTCAGGCTCATGGGAGCATTTAACGACCATAATTTTTTTATTGTATGTCTAATGAGACTTCAAACACTTGAGTTATTAAAAGATGATTTCAAAGGCACAGTTACATAATTCGTAACTTTATCAGAATTTGTATGTCAATACCTTTGAAATTTATTATATAGGTATGCCTGATGTATGTTGGCCCTTTTCATGTTTTATGTTGATTTGTGCTTACTTGAATATACCTCATTTATGTGGATATGCAATGATAAAATTGATATGCACCAGTGTTTTCCTTTTTCATATTGTCTATGTTGCTATTTCAGGCAATTTTTGAACTGTATCAGGGAGAAGAAGATATGGTGGATGATCTTAATTTAGTCTTACAGATATATCGGCATTCTCTCATCCAGCTTGAAATATTGAATAGTGAAGAACTGAGACAAATATTTGGTCCAATGGATAAACTTTTATGCCTCCATCAAGGTACACATTATTGTCAAGTAGAACTAATAGTCATAGATCATCTTACTCAAACTCCACTCTATAGGTATGCGAGAAAAATACCACTTTAGCTCAGCTAGTTAATATGTCAATAGGCAAAATGGCTACTAACTCTAAAACTTTATTAGTCAAAATGGGGGGAGGAGAGCTTATCCAGCACTGACATTACTTCCTGTAGTAAATGTATTCTGATTGATTCTTTGCTTTCTTTAAGGCCTTGTATAAAATTATTCTTCTCTGTATTATTATCTAACTGTTACATAGCTGCTTGTTTGTTAATTTCCGGTAGAAATTCTTTCTGAAGAACTTCAGCGATACAAGTCCTGTCTTGATTAAAATTAGTTTATTCTTTCTTGATACACAGTAATACACAGAATTTCCACAGTCACTTTAAACTTAACTACTTTTATAAACACACGCTATAATTCACATTGATTCACACACTTTATTTATGGTGCCTACTGTTTGCTTGACTCAATTATCTATATCTCCGATACCGCTTGTTTTTCTCGCCAGTCTTATATACTAAAAAAAGAGGGTGTCTAGCAAACACTCGAACATTCGCAGTGTTACTCAATAATTTATGATCCTTCGTGAAACTCCAGCGAGCATGCTTCCAGCATCACGCGACTTCCGCTGTCGCAACATAACCATAAATATTTTTGAACAATCCACCTTGAATATAATGGCTGTGATTACAAAAACCTTCTGTATAAATTTAAAGATACTGTGTTAACTTGTTATTAATTTACTTCTGTAAAATCAGAAATACTTTGTTGCAATAAATGCTATTTAAAAGCCAGTTATGAGCCTGTTGCCTGCTGCATCTATTAAAAAATGATTCATCATTTGGTTGGTGATTTTAAGTGTTTCATTGCAACCAGCTAAAGCTAGGAAGGAAAGATTTGTCAGTCAATATTGCAAGGGAAATTCATTTCACTGAACAGTCAAAACATGTTTCTCAAGTTGTAGGTTTAATCTGATTTACATTTTAGGGTGACTTCAAAACTGTTGTAGGAGACTGGGATTTTGAGTAGATTTGTATGAAATGCCAACTTTATGCTGAATTGACAAGAAGAAGTTGCTGCATGCAATTAATGACTGTTGATGATGATTGTTAGCTAAATCCTTGCCACCCCAGCCATTTATAAATTTAAATATCTATTAAAATGTTTCATAAGCTTCTAGGTATGATAGAAATATTCACACTAAATCACAGCTACAACTCACAATTCTTCAGAAATACAAAATTTTCATGAATATACTATGCAGCATTTAACTGTTTTCTTTGATAGATCTACTAGATGCACTGAAGGCACAAAGAAAAGAAGATAATGCAATCAGCTCTCTTGGTCAAGTCATGCAGAAGTGGGTATGTAAAGGCATTATCTCTTAATAGCTGATTTATAGTAATAAGTATTAGAATATTAATTGAATTTTTTTTTCTTTGCTAGTCACATACCAAACACAAACAACAATATTGAATTTTCATTGCAAACTTCATTGGTCATTGATAACTCTCACCAAGGAGTTGAGTTACAATAATTTCACAACTGTAAAATGATACTTTTTTTTATACATTCTATGCTATTATGATATGTTTAATCAACACTTGATATTAATTCAAAATTTTAGGAATGCCTAAAATTTTGGAGTCTACACTTGGGAGCCTTTCAACTGATTTTAAGTCATCTTTACACCTCACATGCATATGTATCAGTTTTTGTGATAAACATTATGATAGTTTCTTATCATTAAAATTATTTGCAACAACTTACAAAAAGTTTATAAAGTTTGTCACATAATTGGCAAGAAAAGATAGCGCACTTGGTTGTCCAAAGGTCCGTATCTGCATATTTACACACTATCAGTCAATTTTGGCAATGTACTTCATGCAGAAAATGTAATAGTTGAAAGTTTCTGTGCAGTACCAGTGAATTATTTTTTCAATTATTGGGCAGTTGTGTTTTATTTTGTAGCTATTTAGTAAAATTTCTGAAGTATGAGATTTGCTGAATAACCTTTTGTGTGCATCCTACTGAATATAAAGTTGCTTTTACGTATCCTTTCAACATTTTCTTCAAATGGTTTTAAGTGTTAAAGCATGTAATGATTGATAGTAGTCTCAAGTATGATCCTTAATGTTCATTATACCTCAAGGACATTTCAGAGATTAGATAAATCATCTCCAAAACCATTCAGAAATTATGAAATATCAGAAAACATTATTTTGGGCCACAGTTTTTAGATCCTGTGTCTTGTGATCCATCATAATCATATTTACTTGCCAGAACAGTAAATTAACTCTTTCAGCACAGGCTCGGTCCCTGGGACCAACCTCATAACCATTTGGTACTTGTTATAGTTTTCATGCTATAACTTTTAAATTAATAAGCGTATGTTCACGAAATTTGACAGATTATCAGTAAACATTATTACAAGGCTTTCATATGCAAAATATCAGATTTTTTTAATTAAGTCTTAAGGTTTGTTAAGCAATTTTTTTTCCTCGTGCCTTTTTTCTTTTCGCATGTTGCATGTCCACTATGATTTATCAAGCTTAATAATCAAGCTGTATTTGGGTCTTAAAAAAATATCAAATTTTGAGCAGACTAAAGACTCGCCAGCTTAAAGATTTGTATTGAAAGAAAGAGATGATGTTGTAACACTTGAAATTGGCTGAGAAAGCCACTAAGGGGACATTCTGAGCTTTTGATTGGTTATTCACATGTTATATACAGAAGTAAGTGTACATAAGGGAGCATTTCTAAAAATGGAAAGAGGTGAGTGGGGCCACTGTGTTTGATTCAGTATATGTGCGATATCTCAACAAATAGAAAAGATAGGAGGTTCTTATTTTATATTCTAGCTTCTTAATATAGGTAATTTGAGTTCCTAATTCATATGAAACTATAGATTTTGTATTTTGACATCACAAACTTCTAATTTGAACCAGTGCTGCATTCAATATACCATGTGACACACAAAAATCGATGTTTAGGTGTTTTTTAATATTTACTTTTAAATTAAGAAATTAAATAATGTATAACATTGAAATTTAAATTATAATCTACAATTTGATACCAATTTTATTGACAAATTCATGAAATAGCAGTTCAATATAATTTTGAATGCGAGTCAACAAATGCAATAACATGGCTTTTGACCCATGACCTGTGTGGAAAGGGTTAAATGCTCATTCTTTTCTGGATTTTTTTAAACTGTACTTTTGAACTTTCTTTGTTTTTAATGTTTAGTGAAGAACCTACTGAACTGAGTGATTAATTCAAAAATACAATAATAGCAACTTTTTTTTCAGTAGGCAAGTTCTGTAATAATAATTACAACATTTCAGTCAATAGCATCGAGTTTTTAGAGCTGGTATCATGAAGACAAACACCTTTTAATCATTAAACTGTGCAAATGAGAGTCCTATTTAATATTTACTTGTATTAGTTATTTGTTACTGAACAAAACTGTCTACCCAAGGGAGCATCATTTCATGTGCTGAAAAAAAACAGTAACAACAATGCATCTGGACACTTAAATTTGGATATGTACACACGTTTTGGCCTCATTCTATTTTTACCTAGATGTGTTCTATTGACCATGCCCTTCAGTAGTAGTTTTTCCAACAATATAGTGGATGCTTTTGAAAATGCATTATCTAGTTTTTGAAATGTCTTTGAGGAATATAATGGAACATGTAATCTTAATGTTGTAGTTGATTTCTATCAAGTTTGAAGAAGAAAAATAGTATTTTAGCTGTTCTTCTGTGTTAATGGGAGCACGGTTGCTATACAAAGAAAAAATAAAGTACTAATGCCTGTTTTGCATATTTCTTGTTGTTAACAGCATCATGTGGTGCAAAGATTTTTGTTTTTACAAAATTAAGTTTTTATACAAGACAAGGTTGTACTTTGTAGAATCACAAATGTTCTGTTCTGCAATATATTTTAATATTTATGTACATGTAGGTGCCTGGTTTAAAGGCTTATATACCTTACTGCTCAAACCAGTTCACTGCCAAAGCTCTTCTAGAAGAAAAGAAAACCCATGATTCAAGGTTTGAAGACTTTCTGCAAAGATGCTTAGAATCTCCATTCAGCAGACGTCTAGATCTCTGGAGTTTCCTTGGTAGGTCATAGGTTATAGAGGGGGGTGGGGAGTAGTTTACTTGTGTGCCATCATTTCTCCGAGCCAGGGACAATTTTCATACTTAGTACCATGTAAATATATATATGTACGGTGAATTCCCAACAATTAAATAATATTATGTTACAGATAGACTTATGACTGTAAAATATACAAAGCCTTCTTATGAAGAAATGTTTATGCAGTGAAACTGAGAAATGGTGAAGAGCCAAAGAACAAAATTTCAAAAAAGAAAGTTATGATTGTTCTTCATAGAATTGAAATAATTTGGGCAAAAGATAACTTAGGACAATAGGCTCTGAAATTATATTCCAGCCCAGTCTATAAAGTGAGGACTATGATCGCAAAAGAGAATCTTCCAGGATTTTCATTAGGTGTCAGGTAAATCATCCACCCACCTAACTTAGGTAATTACAGCTTATCTACCTGGTTCCTTTGGGGTTTTTTATGTGCCCTTTCTACTAGGTTTTTGTATTCTTGAGCAACATGTTTAATGCTAAAATATTAAATATGTACTATGTGAACTAATGTGATGCTTTATGTTTGGCTTTGCTTTCTTTACATCATCAGGGTTTGGTATGGTATGGCCTGGTGATTAGGGTGCTCGACTTGCAATCTGCAGGTCATCAAATCAAAACCCATTGCTGAATATGTTCAAACTTTTAGCAGTGGAGGAGTTATAATGTAATGGTCAATCCTACTATTCATTGGGAAATAGTACCCCAAGAGTTGATGGTGGGTAGTGTTGACTAGCTGCATTCTCTCTCTTTTCTTTTACTTCAAAATTAGGAGGGCTGGTGTAGATAGCTCATGAGAAACTTTGTATGAAACCTCCACATACGATCAAATCTTTACTTTACATTAAAATTCATTTTCTAATGCAGTCTTCGTTCTCTGTAGTATCTAAAAACTCCTTGTTAAGTATGCAAGAAAATTTCAGATGAAGTAAATGTCACTACAGAAAAAGCTCAAAGATTATTTATTTAAGATGTTGACCAAGTTTCTTTTCCCTTACAGCTTTTTAAATTAATTTCTGTTTTGAGAATTTTTACCGTATTTGCATGATTATAATTCTCCTGTGTGGTTCTTATATTGTCAAGAGGTAATTATTTGGTGAGGACTTTCCCAAACAGTTTGAAATTTGATTGGAAAGTGATTCTCAATAAAAGTGAAAAATTGTAGCTCAAGGTCAAATATTTTTTTAACCATTTAAAATGTGTGAATGGGAAGGTGTGTTATTGTTTTCAAGTAGAAGGAAAAATATTTGCAATATAAATTGTAATATATTGTAGTTTGTTTTTGTGTAGCTAATACTGATTATTTTTATAATATCGTTTTCTTCTTTGTAAATTGGTTTCCTATTGTGATTAGGTAGAGCAGAGCTTTTGTCACTCTTTCTTTAACCTTTATGTGACTATTTTCTGAAGAAATTGTCATACACAATACTGTATATTGGACAGACAAGTACTTTTAGCCCTTCCATTAGATAAATTCATGGCTGTTATTTCTCTTACAGATGTTCCCAGAAATCGCCTAGTGAAATATCCTTTACTTCTAAAAGCTATACTTAAACAAGTAAGTATTAAACTTGAATTTAGGTGAGTGGTATCAGTTTTTGAGACTCCTAACAAATATTTATGACTGAATAAACAGTGTGCTTGAGGAATAGTAGGAAAACCAAAACCAATGCAAAGTTAAAAAAAAATGTATGGCATTATAATTCTCCTTGAGGATAGGCCTAAGCTAATGTGTTCAATATTTTGTTAATGTGCTTGGAACAGAAAATGTTATATGACATCTGTTTAATAAAACCACTTTACACAATGACATAACAAAGAATTAATATATTCAATTACACTATACAGTTTACAGAAGCTTCTTGACACTAAAATTTTGGTTGAAGATAGGTCGGAGCTAATGAATAATGATGGTTTCATTCAAACAATAATAGTAAAGTTGAATTGAAACTGAAACAGTTCACTAAATTATGAATACATGAAATTACTGTGAACTCCACAGAGTCTTTCAAGATGCTCAATGTTTCTACTCTATGCCTTCATTAGAAGCATAAATTTTCTATTGTGGACTCCATTACTCATATTAAGACTGGTTTACCTTGACTGTTAATTTTCATTAGCATAATGGTCATATTTTCCTTTTCCAGTCATGATTTCACAACGCAAAAAAAAATTTATTTGATCTACCTAATGATTTTTTGGAAGTAGGTAGAAATATTATAAACTTTTTTTAGGCCTTAAATATCATTATATAGGTAAAGATATTGTAATGCTTGATATTTATCATCTTTTATTTATGTCAGTTTCTTTTATAAATCATGTTCTAAAATATGAAGATAACAAGAACAACTGTATTAAAATACAGTATCGTGCACTATTCATTAACATCAGAAACAACACCGAGTTATTCATTAGATGATTTTAATATGAAATTATAAAAATTCATAATAATCCACTAATGTCATTTCATTACAAAATATCCATTAAGTCCAATCAAAGTGTAAGATTCAGAATCATTCACTTATGTCATTATAAATATTATATTTCTTTACAACATATACCAGTCTATAAGATTCAGCTCTAAAATTCTCTTTAGGAATTTAACCTTAAAAAAAAAAAAAGGTTTAATTCCTGAAAGAAATTCCAATACTTTCAACCTCTAAAATTCACACAAAAGCAAATTTGTAATTATTAGTGTAGATTTTATTTATACACAATCCTTGATGATTTTTTGTATCAAAAGGAGATTTGAGGTTACTCAATTTTGTAGCTAGGTTTAGCACTGAGGGTTTGTTTCACATATGGTTGTGACTATAAAGTGTGTTTGTTCATATTGCATAAAACCCACATTATGATCAGCTGAATACTGCAGTTTCGAATTATTTTACCTCTCATCAACCCAGCTAAATTTATGAAGGGATTTTTATTCATATGGGCTTTAACATGTGGTTTGATGTAGGAGAAAATTTGGTGTAGATTTTGTTTCTTTGTATAAGTTCTGAGGTGCAGATTGTATTAAGAAATCATTGTTTCTCTATAGTTACTAATAAAGCAAAACACTCAGTGTTATTTGCTTTCTAAATCTCTTTATGTATAACTTTTATGTATTAATTTTTCACATTTTAGACACCTCAAGGTCATGAGGACAAAGACTGCCTGCCAGAAGTTGTAAGTTTATTATCTATACATTATTTTGTTAAGTCATATAACTTAATTTTATATGGTATGGTTGCAGTATTTTTTTCTTTAGTGTTTTTAAGAGCTATTTTGGTGTGTTTGAACATAATAGTAACACTTTTCCAAAGTTAATTATTTTTGATCCACTACAATTGTAAGATGACACTGACATTTTCATTAAGTTAAAGATTACTTACTCTTGATACATGATGTGAGATTCTCTCTAATAAAAATATAAACAGTTTATTAAAGAAATATAATAATAATAATTATGTAATAGCTGCTGAGATAATTCTATTTTTATCAGACATGGGGAAAAAAAGATCCACACAGGTTGAAACTTGTGTTGCCTTTATGCAAAACTCTCAAATATTTTCAACAACTTAATCCTATTTGTTTTATTTTTCAAAATTACTTTTCATTAGGAGTTGCCATCTTTTTTTATTAGCATTTTGAAATAGTGAAAATGATAAGAAACACAAAATAATGTTTTTTTTTGGTAAATGCTAATTTATTAAAACATTTTAAATAGTAATAGCATAGATCCTAACAATCTTTCATGACATCTGTTTCTTTCTTAACACTCCAGTTACCTAACAAACAATTGAAATAATCACAATGGAACTCAAACTGCTCTAAAGTAACCTCTTATGAACAAAAATGAACAACAAAGTTTTTAAGTAGGCTAACTAACGCATTTACATTTCCTTAATAAAAAAGTGAAGAAATAACACTACAATACACAACTTTCTCTACAATGTAAAATTATTGTTTAGAAGCATGTGGTATGGGAAAAAGTACCGCATTTTCTTTCACTGTTAACTTGAAAAGATAAATTGTTTAGTTTGTCAAAATTTCAAAACTTTTCAGATAACTGGAATGTCAATTTTCTGCAGATTTGAGGATTTTTGAGTTTTTCTTCTTCAGTTGGGTTATTTTCTGTGACTCTTGTAAATCTGACTTACAAATATAGGGGGAGGGGCAGCCTAAACTACCATGATGTTCCATGTGCTTGCAATGTTTAGTAAACAAAGGGTCCAACATATAAGTACAATGTGACTCCCTCATTGGTTACTTTCCACGGAACATTCCACTGCACATGCTCTATGTAGTATAGCTATGTCCGCCTCCATCATGCCTATGTGAAGACAGCAATTTGTCAGGTAAAGTTGAAATAGAATCTGTCAAAATCCATCTTTATATTTTGCCTTCCAACTTCAAAAACATAATCAGTAGACCACCCTCTCTTCATATGTCAGTATATTAGATATGTCGGGCCATTTATCCT